CCTTTCACTAACATATTACGCTAATCTCATCTATCCTTCTAATTTGGAAATGTTTCAGGCCACATCTTCCTTCTGTAATAAGTACCATTGGATTAACCATCAGTAATTGGGACCAGAGGCTTTTTTAATGAAAATTTCCCCTTACTGTAGCCTTAAAAGCGTTGGGAACTGGCCATGCAGCTGTTCTTACCGTAGTTATAATTGTTGCGTAGATAGGTCTTCTGGGTAGCTTTTATAGGCTTGCATTTGCAGCGCTCTATAAAAACAGAAAGTTTTGTTTAGAAAGAAAAGAGCGTATGTTCAGTGACATTCTCCCCGAAACCCCAAGCTCACACCTAACGGAAATTTCACTGAATTGACTTGTTTGTTACAGGCAAGTGAAATATTAAAAACCACAGGGTATTCCTGGTCTGTTCTGCTGCAAAATGTTGTGGAACTGCCCATGAGACCTCAAAGGTTTCTAGGAGAAAACTTGACACGCTGAAATTAAAAAAAAAAAAAAACCAAACCAAACCACTACAACTAACTAACCTCACAACAACAAAGACACAAGGACTTGGATTCTGAAGGGACAAAATCTGCCCTTTTAAGCCAGTTCAATGTTGGTCTCTTCTGTGCTCGCAGGTGCTGCAATTCCATCGCCTTACAATGCCATTCTCTCTTCTGTACTACGCTTACTGAATGCCCTCCTTTCTGCACCTTTAATCATACAGACCATAATACAGACACAGAAAGAAAATACTATGACAGGGCACGATTTAACATTTCATTGGAGACTACGTATCTCAGCTCAGTTTAGCAAATTGGGGATATTCTGGCTAGCAGGCATTTACCATAAGGAATATGATTTTTGTGGCTAATTCTTAACATACAGTTCATCTTTGGAGCTGCACCTTAAGATTTCTTACAGTGGCACAGCCTCTTTACACCTGAAGATGTCCAAGAGCTACAGTCAACAGATGAACCATGTCGGAGGGTGGTGGGACTAAGCGGCACGTAGCTCCCTGCTCTGAATGCTTCTGGGACGGTCCTGACAAAATGAAATCTCAACTATGTGTCTCCAGCGGCATCTGGCAGGAGGTTTAAGGGAGATTGAGTTTAAGAAGCTGAAAGGCTTCACTTCACTACTGCAGGTGTTTGGCATTACCTCTCATCCTGCTCTGGACTCTTCCTCAATTTTTGTGTAAATTTTACACAATTTTATTATGACGCAGAACCTCAGATTTAATTAAAATAGGTAAATTATTAGCCCTTATGGCGGTAAGGATGGCCTTCAAAAAACAGTACAAATGAGCAGAGTCAGAGCAGCATTTCCAGTGGTGCAGCTTCCAGACAGCTGGAACAATAATGGAGGTAAAAACATTTTCATGAGTGCCCGGGGAGTGCTAATGCTGAAGTTCCAGACCCATGCGTTCATTAACACCACCAATATTTCATGGCTGGTTGTTCTAATGCAAATATTTACTTATTTCAAGCTAGTGTCTAAGTGGAGTTTGGTGGAGTTATCTCAAACAGCAGGTCCCAGTATTACGCACACATGGTCATCTATTTTGACATTTGATTTAGCATTTAAGTGGAAGTAGACTTAATGCAGCCTATTTGTATACACCATAAGTCTAAAATACCAATGCATATAAGCTATCAGTTTAGTTAAATCCAATATGAAGAGCCTGAAGAAGAATTTTATTTGCCATATAAGATTTCTGCATATTGAAAAAAAAAAAAGGGGGATGGAATCATGTGGTTATGGACTTCTCAAATCATTATTTATTTTCTATTGAAAGAATTTTCATAGTTGAAAATAAAATTTAAAAAATACAGGAAAGAGGAGAACATTTCAAAAGAAGGGTATATTGTTTCCTTGAATTTCAAACACATCCTCAGGAATCTATATGTAGATTCATACAGACTTCAGCTTTTGTATGAGACTGTGTTAAAATAATAAAGTCAGAGAAGGGAAGTGATTTTTGGCTCCCCTTCTGCCTGTGGGAGTTCATGCATACTTTAGGCCAAATTATGGCCCATTTTATAAGCTGCCTTGAAACAGGCCATAAAAGATGTGCTCCTATGACCCACACTCATGCAGGCATCTCAGCGTTCAAGTCCAGCGAGTTGTACATTTTAACGTTCTCCTGCTCTACAGTACTTTGTTCTGTGGCACAAGTAGAATAAAATAGTTGAAATTACAAGACCAGAATACATAGCCTGACATTTCCCTCAATTTTAAGACAGTATTGGATTATTTTATTTTATTAATTTGAGGAATATATTGTATTAGCCTTGTTCTAGAAACAAACTATAGGCTTGTCCATGTTCTTAATGAAGGATACCTCCCAGTCGCCCTAGTGCTTTTCAAATTTACATCTCAAAGAACTTTACAAAACACTACATTATTCCTAATTACTATTTAGAGATACAGAACTAACACAGAGTCACTTGCCAAGGTCAGTTATAAAGTCAGTCGTAGAGCTAGAACCAACTCCTCTCTCCCAATTCCTGTTGCAGTGACTTTCAAAGGAAGCACAAACATGAGTATTAGAGAACTTGTATTTGATTGATGCATTTCAACCAAATTCTGTTTTGGCAAAGTTGAGCTTTCCCCAGGGAGTGGGAACACTCACAAAAGGTGTCTGCAAAAATGTACTGCATCTCTTGATGCTGAGGGAAAGTCCCATCTTGCATGATAGTCTCCTCTGAAGGTGCCAGAATTACCAGAAGGGCTGTGGGACCACAACAGTTACACCCCGAGCACTGAGACAGCCAGCGGAGGCTCACACCAGTTTAGACTGACTCAGCTAACTTTGCCATTTAAGTATTCTTTTTTAATACAAGTCAATACAGGACTAACAAAAGCTCAAAATCTATACCTTTGAAAACTTCTCCCTATAAATGCCAAAACGAATGGACTACACAGGAAAAGGATTTTCCCCATGGATTGCTACCAAGGAACGTGCCGTCTTAAAATATATGTGCATGCACACTCTAAAACCTGGCTGTAATTCTGATCAGAACAAGCACTCAAACCTGGAAAATGCTTCCCTGAAAAATAAGGATAAAAAAAGAAACTCTGGAAAAATTTCTGACAGACTTGAAAAGCATCTGATGAAGCAGATGGCAATGTAGTTTACTGCTGAGAGAGGTAAAAAAGCCCCCCTCAACCCATGCAGACCCAGAGGGAAGGTTTTGCCAGTGGACACTGCCAGGGATAAAAGGTGCCTTAAATAGGGGTAACCCATGAGTATTGCTCACTGCAACCATACATAGAAGCACATGCAATATGCTCCAGAAACCACAGAGCCAAGTCCAGGATTTTTTGATACCCATCAGGTTGCTACTTACAAAAAAAAATTCTATTTACATACTTTACTGAACATATAAATAACGCAATTATGAAACACAGCCTTTTAGGTGGTTAAACTGTGTTTGTCAGTTGAGACAGGTGTAGCATATTGAACCAGAAATTGTTTTGGTACAGCGAAAGGCAGTGATAAACATATAACCCTTCTTTTCAATTGGCAATTTTTCTGCACATCTTTACCCTATTTTTTGGATGGGATTTTTTTAGGTCTGGTTTTGTTTTTACTAGTCAAAAAGCATCATGACAGCAACAGTACAACTGGATCTTACTCTTTACTCTTCCACTGCAGGGTCACTTACTGGTATTACATGCTGTCTACATTCCTAAGGACAGGCAGTGCTAAAGATACGTTTAATATTTTTGATATAAGGTGATGGTATCCAGCTTTACTTTCATACTCAAAGTGAAGCTTGTAGGCTCTTCGCAGTCACAGTAGAGCACGAAATCCACACTTTTCTCAATGCCACACAATTGAAAATCATTTAAAACTAAGAAGATAGTAACAGTACTAATAAAAATCGTTAGCAATTCTTTCAGACATGGTCCTGTGCTCAAGGCAATTTAAAGTGAAGATTATTAAGGGGCTTACTTTTATAATTTTTTTCTAATTGTAGCTGGCTTTCTAAAGGATGTACACTACAACTTACATAACATTTTGCACCTACATAGCTATTTTCACATTGGGATGTACTGATCACACTTTAAATCCATATTATAAGCTGGGCATTATTAATACCTTTTTACAATTTGGTCACAGAGATTAATGATGAAGTTATCCAATTTTATGTAGGTATCTAATTTTGTGTTCTACAACCATACTTTGGTGTTTATATTAATAAATTGAGCATCAGCGCACACTATAGCTCATCGACACCTCTGGAGAAGGAAAGACATGATGGCCAACGCTAGGTTTCCAAGTGTCATTTTCTTGACAGAGGCCTAAGAGAAAACTTCCAAAGGAATTGTAATAAAATGCATGGAAACCTACAGTCATTGGCTTGCTTGAGCAACAAATACACATTTCTATAATCTGTTAGCTACCAACCTGGGCTTTGCTTCTTTGCATTGCCTATGACTAGTGGTAACACTCATGTGGTTTTACTCAGTTCCAGCAAAACCAAAAGTAAAAAGCAGGAGGGGACCCGCTGGAATAAAACCAGTCTAAAACCAGTCTCGGAGGGTCTCAGCTTCCTCCGGTTAATGGGAGTTTTGCCATTATCTACACAGAGTGCCGAATTTAATTTGCAAACCTTAAAGTCAGAATGAACCATCTTCTTCACTGGTTTTGCCCATTGAAAATCCATTTAACGATCATTCTCACTGTTCAAGAGAAAACTTCTTATGAAATCAGCATAGCCCTCTTGCTTTGATGGAAATTTTGCCCTGACGAAAGCAGAAGAGACGAGCGCTAAAAGGCAGGCTAAAGAGTTAATGAGTTGTATATGCTGAGAGGTCCACAGGCTGACCAGCCCCAAATCCCACCTGCCCACGGGATACAAAAGCACAATCTACAGGATTCCCAGACAAGACAGAGTATTTAAAGATCGCTTAGTACCCCTCTCAGTTAATCAAGTATTAAAAGGATCTGGAAGACTATAGCTTGTTATACAGTTTTATGAAAGTGTACTTACCAATGCCGGCGCCTCTACAGTTGCCGTTATTAGAATCCATAGGGAAATCTGTCATGGGTTCGTAAAATATGTAAAGAAATGTTAGTATTTTTGGATTATTTCAATACGCCCACATTACAATGTTTTATCTATCTCTAATATTTAGTATATTAAAACTTAATAACTTCATTAATAAACAGATTTTGATGTTCTACAGGCCAGCCTGTTAAAGTTGACACGATTTCTTACCTGAACTTCACCCCAATCCGGCACATCATGTTAAATGCTGAAGCAGATTAAAGATCACATTTCTACTGGTGTACAGACTGGCAGGTTTAGGACAAGGATGGAAACCTATGGCATGAACTTAAAGCATCTACAAAAAGTACACGTACTGTTTGCATTTAATTAGGTGATGAAGGAGGAATTACTTTTGGTTTGTTTTTTTGGTTACTGAGGAAATCAAACCAACCAACCACAATCATATCATTGAAGGAAATGCCAAAACAAACATTCCAGACCTTCCCCTGGAAAAAACATACTGATTATTTTGAAGGACAGATAAGGAACAGAAGGAAAAAAAGGCACTATGCCCAAAGAACTGCTTTTAGTCACAGTCATAAGTGGAATGCGTCCCACATTAGTAAAACATATAATTTCAAACGTATTGTTTATTAAATTTAATGGATTTATACATATACTTAATAATGAAAAACAAGTATGTTAATGCATATAATGTTGTAAAAGTTAAGGAAAAAAATAAATGCAAGAGAAACAGGATTTGGGAGAGAGGCAGTATACTTTATTAGAATGACACATCAAACAGAAAAACAAATGAGCTTTCAAAGAAAAAGCCCTTCTTTAAATTTGCATACCCAAATGTTTATGCAGTTTTTTCACCTATGGAAGCTGGAATCATACAAAGATCACCTTTCTTATATTCTTACATCCTATCATGGATGCAACACCACTGCTGTTACAATAGAGGACAAATGAATACCACGTAACAAAGGTCCTCTCTTGCAGCTTGAGCCGTACGACAGCCCAGGACACTAATGATACTCGGTATAGGTGAAGGGTTTAGATGTGTGGACTAAATGTAAGGGCTGGGACCACTATTTAATCACAAATTCTGTACCTACATATTTAAAATACCTGTTTACAAGAAATCTAGTATACTTAGTTGATCTTCTAATTTGGCTATCCTTCTTTTAAAAAAAAATAAATAAAAAAATCTCCCACCTTAATGCGTATTTATACTACTCTCAGCAACATGAAACTTCCTTTACACAAATGGGGATATGGCTAAATGACAGGGCAAGAGTAAATCTGAAAAACACCTATTTCCCTCACTAACATAATAATAAACTTCAAAAACTTGAGACTTCAGGAGTAATTACTCCTACCAACATAATGAGCAAAGGGTATAGAAAATAGCACCGAAGGATTGAATAGATGCTCTTTTACATCCAATATCCTACCGCTAATAAAAAAATCACATCCATTTTCCTCCTAAGAAAGGTTCAGACTACCACAGGATCTTAGAACAAAACCAACATTTCCATGGAGCCAAGGTGGTCTTTGGTTATCAGGTACTTCCATGGCAGCTGTAAGGCTTCTCCATGCTGCCTCGTAACAAGTCAAATTATGCACGCCAATTCTTAACTTACATATTTTATTTTGATTATTCACCTCAGCTATTCCCAAATTTTAAAAAAGCTGTTGTTATCAAGTGGTAATTAGAGATTGCGACCTCTACCAATAGCGTAAGGTAAAAAAAAGAGGTCTTCATCAAATTTCAATGCATTTTATGTTCTATCAAGTGCTTTCTTGTATTCCAGGACATAATGGAAGAGGAATGAAAATGATTTCCCTCTTGCAAATGGTAAGTAAAAGGATGACCACATTTCTTCTTGTTCTTCCTCTCCTGGGCCAATCCTCTGTTGTCTTGTTCATTTAGACAAATTGTAGCTTTAAACCAACAATTCCTTCTGACATGGTAAAAGCATAGAGAGCACTTTGAGGCTACAGTCTGATAATCCTCCCAACTGCTCCCACTGCTGACAGAAGTCTGCAAGACCTCCCAGCCACCAAGCACAGGGGGGTGGCTCTACCTCTCCACGTGCCTAAGACTGGCCTGAGATGTTTCACCACCCTGGGCATTCAAGACCCCTGCAGAGAAAGCTCTCCAGATTCACTGCCTCTCTCGTTTGGTTGCCTTGGCCAACTTCTCAGGTTGCCTGCAAGGTTGCCTGGCTTTGCACATGGCAAAGGCAACTTTTTCTGGTGCTTCATATGGCTCAGCAAGCTACAATTCCTACCAAAATAGGTACTTCAGTTATGAACGAAGGGATGGTTCGTTCACACCTCCATAGCACCTTCCCCATGCCAATAAAATCGTTTCTGCAGGCAGAAAAAATTTTCATCAGCAGAGGAGGCACGGGAAGTACCAGGTTAAACGCTTATCATCTTCACATCCACGAAGGAAAAAGAAGCCCTGAAGTGCACTCTCCGTTCCTAAATCAAGGGCTGATCCAAGCAGCCATGACTTCATGGTGTTTGAGCAAACCAAGTCAAATTCACTCTGGAATCACAGCTAAAAATAATCCAGAGCCCAGAAAAGGGTTCATGGCCTTCCCTGACCCCACTTGGAGGTATGACGCTCATGCGTATCGGCTGAGGAACTGTCCTTCAAACTCACACCAATGCAAGCAGCACTGGTTAAACACTCAATATGCCCAGTATAAACAAGCATAGAACTAAACTGCTTTCCACCAGATGTTCCCTTGCACTTCTAGGTACACAACTTATTTTATTTTTACCAAATTACAACATACCCCAACCTCAACCCATTTCCTAATTCTGCATTCATTCGTTTGCCAGGTCAGTTTGTCCTACCCCAAACCAGTGGCTGCGGGTAACTGACAAAGCAGCTGGCTGTGCAACAACTGCAATTCAGACATTGCGTGCAGAGCAGCTATTAATGGAAACGGCTCCCATTTCTGTGCCTGTGTGAAGGCTGCGGCGCGCTGTGCTCTGCAGTCGCGGCCAGAATGCAGTACCTGTCAATGAGCAAAGGAGGAATAAGCAGGTACCAATACGTCACTTTGTGATTCATTTCCTTACTTGCGAGGGCTTGGGCCAGGCAAGTATTGACCCTGCCTTGATGCTTATCTTTCCCAGAGCACTCACACTTATTTAGGGATGAGCAGGTTCTACTGAGGGAGAGGAGCGTGGGCTTGTGGAGGGAACCGGAGACCTCCACCACTCTATGACACATCTCGGGAAAGGCTTCACATCTCCCTGATCCTTCCCCCAGTCAAGCTCATACCACCTGGTCCCTTCTCATCTACCAGGGGAGCGATGGGAAAAAGGGTCTAGGCCAGCCCTGCCAACAGCTGCTCGCAAGATTTTGCATGGGTGTGAGCAACCACAAAGTCCCATCCCCTGACCCCAGAAGCCTAATGGGCAGAGACCTCTCTTCATCAGGAGGTGCACACTGCGTAGACCTTCAGTTGTAATGCAGACAGGAAAAAAAAGAAGCTATTTTTAAAAACAAACAGATGACTTCCTATTGTTCCACTTCTCTTCAGAGGTGACCTCTCTGCCAAGTTTCATCTATGCAAAACACTCTTTTTGAAAGAAATATCTGTCAGTGATGATTAGCAGGATTGCCAAAGAGGAAATATTATCCAGAGCTCCAGTCCAAAGGCTTCCTATTAAATATTGTTTAAGAGCAGGGGAAAAAAATCCAAACTGATTTTTCCAATAAGCCGTTTTAATTAATCACTTTTCAGAGGGATGCTATATTAAAAAAACCAAAGCCAAACCAAAACCACAAATCACTAACAAGGAGAGCTGAATAAAAGCCACTGGCTTAGTAAGCATACAAAATAACAATGCCTGGACCACAGATTTGGATGAGAGGTTTGGGAAAAGGAAACAACTTGGTAAAACTTGGTTTTGAGCAAGCATCTTACTTGTATCACAGTTTAAATGGAAAAAAAAAAAAAGGCAGAGAAAGAGGCATAAGTAACATGATCCTGATGGTCACTGCAATTAAAGAATACGACCCAGCTCTTACTGAAGCCATTCCAGGCACCCGGCTCCAAAGAATAAACCCACAGCGAGCGGTGGCTACTTGGGCACTATCTTCAGATGGAGACATCTGTGAGCCCCACTGATTAAGAAACCCTTCCAAAATGCATGAATCCAGACCTTGCAATCTACTTCAGCTCTTAATACAGAGAGGATCTTTGCTAATCTGATTGCAAAAACATGCACAGCGAAGCAAAATAATACGAAAATTGATCCTAGTTAAAATTTAAGACAGACCACTCGAACTCCAAGTTGTAGAGCAGCCTGCAACATGGCAACACGGCCGCTCCACATAACAAATAATTCCACATCACGAATTCTGCCAGGTTTTGGTGACATTTAATGGCCTAGGTCTTGACTTGATGCTTAAACTGTGAAAGCCATTCTAGGGGACTCAGCCCACAAAAGCAGACAAACTGTAGCGATAATATAAGAATATTGGTGGTATCATCATTAATAAGGTTTAAATTCTCTTATTTACTTTTTCTTTCTTCTTTAAGGCTTGAAGCTTGTAATGATTTTGTTCTTTAATGAGGCTGCTTCCAAGTTTTGAGTGAACACCTAAAACAACTCTCAACTTTGTAAATGACAACCACAGCATGCCTGCTCGTCCTTGGTGCAGGCAGAGATACTCCCCTAGCAGCGCTGTGCACTTCAGCTACCAGAAGCAGAGCTGTGCAAAGGCTGAGTCAGGGCAAATTTAATCTAGAGTTTGGAAACCACCGTTTTGGAAATGAAGTTAATAGCATATGAAAAACAAGCATGGGAAACGGCTCTTTCGCTTTTCTTTTAAGCATACAATGCCAAATTCACACACTGGATTACTAAGAATTCATCTAGGCAGACAGGCAGGTATGGAGGACTTGGCCTACACAGAGAAATCATGAGTTCATGTAAGATTTAAGAAAATGTATCTCTGTCGCTTGAATAATATTTAATTTTCTTTAATGTTTAAGTGAATTTTTTTTTTTTTTAAAT